GGGAGGGGAAGAAAAAAAAAAGCGGTTAGAGTGGGAGAGAGCCAAAGCATAAGAGACTCTTAAAAACTGAGAACAAACTGAGGGTTGATGGGGGGTGGGAGGGAGGGGGGGTGGGTGATGGGTATTGAGGAGGACACCTTTTGGGATGAGCACTGGGTGTTGTATGGAAACCAATTTGACAATAAACTTCATATATTGAAAAAAAAAAGCTGAGTTAATAAATTGATAACTGAATTATCTTTTTGATACTTACCAAGGCTTTCACTAATACCATGAATTTAATACCAATAGAACAGTCTTTCAACAAAGAACTACATCATAATACTGAGGTTCATTCCATGATCTAATGGACATTGAATACCAATTAATACAGCCATGGATATTGGATGTATTAATGGATACATGGATAGCATATTCTGCTTGAGAAGACTACATATTTCAGGTGTTTTTACATGTTTCTGTCCATTTTAGAATTTATTTAATAACCCTCTCCTTGAAATATTTTATTTATGTGACCAGTTTATATTCTTAATAAAAACTGATTTTTAAAAAACATTTATTTATTTGTTTTGAGAGAGCCAGTGAGCATGAGCAGAGAATGGGCAGAGAGAGGGAAGGAGAATCACAAGCAGGCTCCACACTCTCAACTCAGAGCCTGATATGGGATTTGATCCCATGAATTATGAGGTCATGATATCAAGAGTCAGACACTTGGGGTGCCTGGGTGGCTGAGTCAGTTTAAGCATCCGACTTCAGCTCAGGTCATGGTCTCACAGTTCATGGGTTCGAGCCCTGTATCGGGCTCTGTGCTGACAGCTCAGAGCCTGGATCCTGCTCTGGGTTCTATGTCTCCCTCTCTCTCACTCTGTCCCTCCCAGGCTTGTGCTGTCTCTCTTTCTCTCAAACATAAATAAACATTAAAAAAAAAGAGTCAGATACTTAACCAACTGAGCCACCCAGGTGCCCTTAAAAACTGATTTAAAAAGAAAATTACATATACTGCAATCCCTATCAAAATAACACCAGCGTTCTTCACAGAGCTAGAACAAACAATCCTAAAATTTGTATGGGACCAGAAAAGACCCCGAATAGCCAAAACAATTCTGAAAAGAAAACCAAAGCTGGAGGCATCACAATTCCACACTTCAAGCTGTGTTACAAAGCTGTAATCATCAAGACAGTATGGGACTGGCACAAAAACAGACAGAGCAATGGAACAGAATAGAGGACCCAGAAAT